TTTTGCAGGTGGATATCCAGTTATGCCAGCACTATTTGTTAAAGAGGCTATCTTTTCCCCAATTAACGGAGTTTGGGCCTTTGTCAGATATCAGCTGCTCATAGGTGGATGAATTATGTCTGGATTCTCAATTCTGTTCCATTGTTTGCCTGATGAATTTAGCCCATCTCTCTTTTTCTAAGTTAGAGACTTTCAGCAGCTCTCCTGTCTTCTGTAATTTCTCCTCCACATCCCCTTCCCTCCCCTTTACCCACCACCTCTGCAGCCAAAGGGGGAAGACAAAAACAAGTAAACAGAAACTGTGACTTCGCTCCAAGGGCTTTTGTTCCTGAGCATAAATTAACGTGACTCAGCTTGGCTTACGGCAGAGTCGGCTATTCTGTTGGGATAATCCTGATCAAGATTTCTGGGAAATTGGGCTGCAGGCCTGTGTGTGGACGGAGCTCTGAGACGCGGGGCTTCTGTTTCTGGAGAGTTCCTTGACTGGCAGGGAGCGAGGTGGTGACTTCCCTCTGACCCTCCCTGCCTGAACGCAGAAGCACTGTGACTCACTCGGAGCTGACGCGTCCTCTCCGGGGCTGGTGCTGCCCGGTGTCAGCGTGGATGGCAGAGCCGGGTGAAGCCAGCACACTCTCGGGAGGCAGCAGAAGGGTCTGTTGGGTGTGCTGGGTACTGTCCCTGGGACTACTGGAACCGAGATTCCCAGTGAACCTGCCCTGCTGAGGCTTACACTCCTGAGTCTTCCTTTCTAGGAGGCCTTCTCCAAATTTCTCCCTTGCTCCCAAGGTGTTCTTACATTGCCTTAGTCTTTTATAGGCATAGATAGATAGCTGCCATTGAGTCGACACCCATGTGTGGCGATGTTATGTACAACAGAATGAAATAATACCCAGTCCTGCATCATCTCCACAGTCACTGGCATTTTGAGTCCATTGTTGGGGCTCGTGTGCCAGTCCGTCTCACTGAGGGCCTCCCTTGCCCTCACTGGCCCTCCGCTTCAGCAAACACGATGTCGTCTTCCAGCGATTGATTCCTCTTGATGATGTGTCCAAAGCATGCAAGTTAGACAGTGTTCTGTTGTGACCCATAAGGTTTTTGTTGGCTGATTTTCAGAAGTAGATCACCAGGCCTTTCTTTCTGGTCTGTCTTAGTCTGGAAGCTCTGTTGAAACTTGTCCACTCTGGGTGACCCTGCTGGTATTTGAAATATGGGTGGCCTAGCTTCCAGTACTATGGAAACTACCACAGCACAACAAACTGACAGGCAGGTGGTGGCTAATCTTTTATAGCTGATAATAATGATGATCATAGCAGCTAGCATGTTTTCTAAAGTTATCTCCCTGAATTTTCACAGTAATTTTACATTTGTTATGATTATTATCTCCATTTTATAGATGAGGAAATTGAGGCTTGGAGAAGTTAAATAATTTTGTCCAAAGTTTCCTTTTTTAAAAGATAGCTTTATTAAGATATAATTCACATGCCATTCTATTCACACATTTAAGTGTACAATTTAATGATTGTTAGTATATTCACAGAGTTTTGCAACTATTGCCCTAGTGAATTTTAGAACATTTTTGTCACCTAAAAAAAGAAATTATGTGTGCCCCCATCCTTCCACATCCATAGCCCTAGGTGGCCACTAATCTACTTTCTGTCTCTATTTTGTCAGTTGCCATTGAGCCAGCTCTAACTCATGGTGACTCCATGTGCATCAGAGTAGAACTGTGCTCTGTAGGGTTTTTAATGGCTGATCCTTTGGCAGTAGATTGCCAGATGTCTCTTCTGAGGCGCCTATGGGTGAACTGGAACTTCAAAGCTTTCAGTCAGCAGCCGAGCACATTAACCATTTGCACCACCCAGGGACTCCTCTGTCTTTACAGATTTTCGTATTTTGGACATTTCATATAAATGGAGTTGTACAGTATATGGGCTTTTGTGTCTAGCTTCTTTCACTCAGCGTGACGTTTTCAAGGTTCATCCAAGTTGTAGCACGTATCAGGACTTCACTCCTTTCTATGGATTGGTGTTACTTTTTGAACTCGAGGAGTCTGATCCCACAGTCTCAGAATTCAACTGCTCAGAATTCAACTGCATTGCTGTCCTGCCTTCTCCCTAATGCACTGTAGACAAGTTCATGTTTCCTCGCTGTTTCTTCCTGGCTTTTCCTCACACCACGAGCCAGGGATTCAGCCTTGTACCTCAGTTGCCCAGTGTTGTCCATAACAAGTGCTTAGTGAACGTTGGTTGAATGCTGTGGGTTGGGACAGTTTTGTATACTGAATGCATGCAAAGGGATTGTTGGTGTTACTATTCTGCAGCATTTATGTGTCATGTTTTGCCATTAGAAATGAGAACAGACAAATGAGAGAATGCTCACTAAAGGATTCAAACAAGGTGAGTCATAAATGTACTGATGGTTGTTATGTGTCACCGTTTGCAACTGGAGTTAGGAACTGATGAATGGTCCACAGGACAGAGGTTAGCACATGTTGCCTCTCGGCCTTTGGCCAGCTGTGACAGGTGAGGTTTCTACAGTCTGAAGGTCACTGGCCTACGTCATAAAGGGCTGGTTACTAAAGGCAAGCTGGATAGGTGACCTTTGTGCACAGGTCCAAGCTGACTGAAGTTTGCTGTGGCCACTGAGCACTAAGTATAGCCTCAGGCACTGGACCTAGGTCTCTCTGACTCCAAAGCCCTCTCTCATTTCACTCCTTTCCCTGAACATGTTTGTGGACAGGCTACATTGGAGGCTGGTGAGGGGCAAAAGTCTTGTCCAAAAGTAGGAACTGATTGCAGGTCCCTGACTGGGTTAGGTTTCTTTTAGAGATACCATGCAGGTGGAAACTGGTTGGAAAACAGTGCTGTGGCTTGTAGAGCCATTGGCAGGTACTTCATAGGGAGTCATGTGATTGTTTCTGTGAGGTCCCCAAGGAAAAAATGTCTATGAACAAAACTTCTGGGGTCTCTGCTGGCTCAGAGAATTCCCTTCCCATTCTCTAGCAGGGCCACTGGAGCCTTATGCTGTCAGCCATGGTGGTGATGGTAATCACTCCTGTTCATTGAGTGCCTATTTTCT